TCGTTCAGGAAATCGGTGGGAACACTTTGACAAAAACAGGGTACCCTTTCGTTGTCATCAACAGCTCTAAGTAATGATCTCACGTCGTTAATACTAGTAGATAGTATCGTCGCTAATACCGCTTAGGAGGAGGTTCAGCAGAAATCAACCAGAGGAACCTACTACCGTTGACTTCTGTTGAAGCAGATTTAGGTGCGCGGCTTGCGACAGTGTCAGACATTTCATTTTGTGGGTACATCTATCGAGCGCCAGCGTGCGATCAAATACCCTTCTGAATCATCGATAGCTAGCTACGTACAACCTATTTCAGACCACCCGCTGGTCAAATAAATAAAATACTGCTAGTATCTAGAACGATTCAACACACCATTACAAGAAAAAAATTATATTCAATATTTAAGTTCTATAGTAAGAATTGTTGACAATATGATGAAGCTATCACTGGACGAGCTGCTAAATGGTAGCACAAAATTTTGTCTGTCTATGATATTATAGACCGGCACGTATGTTTCATCGAGTAGGCTTTGCCTTATCTGTGTGAGTTGCCCTGGTAGAAAAGCAAGAAAGTATAAATACCGCCTATTGAATACATATGTGCTTACCTTCATTCCCGAAACCAACTGAGAATAGATAGATCTGTACATGTTTATGTAATTTATCTATAACTAAAACAATTAAATCTATAGAGTCGTCGTATACGTTGAAAGTCGAAGTGGTTCTGACTGAGGTCATCCCGTTTGGGCCATTAGTGTAAAATAGGGCTTCAAATATTGTAGGCAGTGTAGAAACCTACGCAGGCAAGCCAGGTTTCTCTATAAACATAGCAGAACAGCTAAAATGTCAGTGATGATAGCTGCGAGTCTCTGTAACTGTATTAACAATGCTTGAATACATTATGTGATACACATATACACATTTTTTAAATATGTTTTCAACGCTAACGCTGTCTCTGCGCCTGAGAGTTTCGACAGTACGGGCCCTGCTGTTTCACTTCTTGGAATAGTTAGAGAGATATCGTTCTATCCCTATTTTCGTATCTCACTGTGCAAATAAACACGAAATAAGGTGGTTTCTGTTTAGTAAAAGCTTACTAGCGAGTGTTCCGTAGGACTAAAGAACACTATCGTTGTAGAACGACATGTATCTGATAATAACATTTATTTAAAACATCTGTCTATAATGAATCGTTGAAAGAGGTCTTTGTCGTCGAACTACAGCAACTTCGTTGAGCATTTATCCACTCTACGGATAACTGCTCGTTATAATTTTCGTCGTTTTTTTCCTGCTTTTTTTTTTATCCTTCGCAAGGTACTGAGGCCTTACAAAAATGAAACGTTACCGAGCAAAGCGCAAAGTTTACATTCGGCTTAGGTATTATAAGCCTTCTGCAATGTCTAATGCAATGTATAACCGTACACAGTATTATATAATATAATAATATATGGACGTGTAAGCTTCCATTTGTATTAGCTTTCGTCCATTTCAATCTTACCGCGTATCGATATTTCACTTTGACTGTTATTAAACTGTGACACAGTTTATTGTTTAGACAGAAAAACGCTGTTCCTGACTCGGTTGAGGTTCAGCGGTTATTGTCCCGTCTTGTTGACCTCGTTGCATAATTTTCCTTATACTCACTTCAGCGAACGTTTAACGCACTCAGGCCTGTAATAAATGATAGAAATCTCTTAAAGGTGCACTATATTGTGTTTCCAGTAACCACCTCCACCTTGGTCTGGTTTCTACCTAAAACATCATTTTTGCTGGGATTTTCAGTCTAACCCATTTGATGAGCAGCAATATTTCCGAACTGGGATACGCCTCGAGCTGTATAATCGCTGATGTCTGCCTGCCTGACCGACCGACTGTGGGGCGCATTTTTGATTTTTTCCTTTTTTGAGTGAGTCGCTTCGAGATTTTGCTGGGAGATATTTGCATGGGTGGAAAAGTTACAGGGCTGACTTAACTATATCTTGGTCTGCTTTGTAAGACTCTATCCGTTCTTCTAACCGAATTTTTTAGATAGGGGCCTATGTAGAAAGAGAGAAAAATTCCTTACGCGAATCGAAAGCTCGTGATCGGCTCAGTCCAAAAACTACCACGTTCCTATACTTAAACGATAATAAGCATTGTCTGAATTTCAGTGCTGCCGCTACGGGGTGCTCAATGAACTATTGTTAGAGCAATAATAATAAGGGTTGCTGTGCTAGGCCTTGATAGTACCTGCTACCTGTTAGTTGCGGTATGATTATAATTATTAGTGTAAGATAGGTGATAGATTCTATTAAACGGGCGGACGAACCCCTGTGGCGTTATGTAGACCGCCATGTTCTCTACTTTCCTGGCTGATTTTAAGCAAAATTTGGTCTCTCTATCGAATGATGTGTTACGTCTTATTTGCAGCTTGATAGTAATATCGCAACACGGTCAAATCGTGTGCCTGCTGTCAACTTCACATACGGAGGTACATCCTAATGTGATAGCTAGGTTAGTGCTATTTGTCTAGTAAAGTATATGCACAGCTATCGCTGTTAATAAGATCACCTAATGACGAGTTCTTGACGCCGAAGAAGATCATAATTATATTGAGTACGAACAGGACTAAGAGAACTTGCTGGGGACAGTCAACGGAGATCGATGGTACCACCGGTACAAAATGGTCATGGATAAGATCAACACTGAACGTAAAGATATGCTCATAGACGAAGATTGTTTCCTAACGGCCAAGCCTTCGATAGGTTGAGATTTTTTTGGGTAGCAGCACTGCATGGAAGCGTCCCGGTGATACCAGCTGGAAAAAAAATAAACTTAGGCCAGGCAATACACTAGACCCTGAAGGTACTGCGGTGGTAGAAGTGAAGTTTCCCTTTATGGAGCTTTTCCTGTTCGTGGCTGATGTTGCCACGAGGATCTTGAGATAGGGAGAGAGAGAGATTTTACAGCGTAGAAGGCTAATTTAAAACTGCTTCCGACAAGAAGGGCACCGTCATATCTACTCAAAAGCTGTCTTCGAATATCATCAGGATCCAACTACTCAGACGCAAGGACTGAGTCAAGATTAGATGATAATAGGGGATCCTCAGGGTTTCGTCTTAGGTCCGCCATTATGGAACTTTCTTAGTCTCATGTCCTTAATCTCATGGAGCTTCCTCCGGATTGCGTACGCTGATGACTTGGTTATCACAGTGAGAGCACGGTTACCGGGGTACTCGAAACGCGTGCTAAGGAAGTGTTGTTTTATAAATCAATTACAAGTAACCACCTTACGCTAGCACTAGCCGAAAACGAAGGACACTTAGCAGCTGGAATGATAAACTGCAGATCGATCAGGTTTTTTTCCGAACGGCCGGCAAATATAATGATAAATATGGACGGATACCTGGGGCATACATTTAAATAGGGAGACGCACCGCTCGCATCCGGTAAGTAATGGCAAGGGCGCCTAAGATGACGGCAGAGCTCGCTAGGATCATGCTAAATAGATATGAGCCACGGGAACGCAAATGAAGGCTGTTCATATCGGTCGCCAAATTCACTACTCCATATAAACTCCGGTTTTGTTTGTATCGGCGTCCGCAGAATGCAAGGCGTTACTGCAGGGAGCCCAGCTTGTATCTGTCATCACACAATTCTGCGGTCCTAGTCCTAATAGGAAGGATATTTTGAAACGTCAGGGTTGACTAACGATGTTGGCCAGAGGGAACAAGCGGGGTCTAAACGAACTGAGATATACAGCCATGGCTACATAGAGTAGGAAGTAATACAAACCGGAAGCCGGGGTTAGGGACATCATCCCAATAATCGCGGACTCGATTGACAGCCCCGAAAAAGAGCTTTCATGCTATATAATCTAATTCCCGATGGGACACGGGAATTGTCGCAGTTAACTACACAGAATAGATTAGGCACCTTCGCCAATATGTGTACACTGCGCCGAGCTCACGTTGGTGAATCGTCTTGCGCTGGAACTGATGTTGTACCAAATCACTAAATAGAAACTCAGAGAAACGATTGGTGCCGGTCTCTGTGGCTTCACTCGATGCATCTGAAAACGGCTAACGAACCATACCGAGGACAACAACTGACCAGAAATGTCCTGCTTGAGGACAAAGCGTTAGAGAGAACAAGGGTGGAACAACTGTCCGGCCAAACAACGGACACAGCGTCGAATGCAGATGGCCCAAAAACCAGAGCCAGAAATTATGGCACGTGATTGGAACTTTAGCGAGAGTGCCCGGAGCATTGCTACACAGCCTGGTACGCTTGAAGAAAAGGACTATCCACGAGACTACCTCTGCCGGTAAAACCGGGAACTCTACAGGAAGACGAACCGTGATTATAAAATCGTGATAAAAAAAGGAAAACCGTGACTAATGAAATCGTAAATTCACCCTAGTAAGCTTTGGTTCGAATAAGTATTTGGATCAGTTACAAACAAGCGGCGAAGCAGCCGATGTTGAGAGTTTAGTGAGTCAGAGTTCTACGGTACAAAACAAAGGTCTTGGCAGTAAGATGTTTTATACAATTCTCTAGCCCCTGACGCCTTTCGACAAAAGTAATCTCGCCGAGGAAGTTATTTTGAATGGACTTTAAGAACAACTAATTATGATTGTGTTATATAAAACCTAATATATATATAGTCGTATAGATAATTTCCATGGAATAGATAACACTTGTATCAGCAAGATTTCCGCTTAAAAGTGTACTCTACCGTAGATCGATGACCTTATACTAATCATCATTTAGAACAAGTGCGATGTGATTATAATATTCAATTATACATTATCTAGACGGCTCTTTTCAAACAGAACAAAGGGTAGTAGGCTGTAGGACTTAGAGACTTTTCTGATTATATGGCATTGATTGGGGTCCAAAGGTGCATCTTTCCTATGATCATAGTGATGATCTAAATGTAGAAAAAAATTTACGCTAAACCCTAATCTCGTGTCGATTCATGCTGCTCTATCTAACTGGTGCAATTTTGAATATTTTTATTACAGTGAACTCGTGAAGATGCGCCAGCGGCGCCAGATTCAATTTGTGTAGAAAACGCGGATGGGAACTCAATTAGCGAACAATTACAATTGGATTTGACATCAAGCGACGATACATTAGTGGAGTAGACGGGTACCCGTGACCAGGACTCGTTGGATACAATGTGTGTCTTTTGGATTCATACCACTGTTCTTTTGGCAGCTGTCATTACTACGGCGCAAACCTATTGGCTGTAAGTATAGGGAAACGGGAACTGTTATATGATGATATGATATACACATTAGGGATCGAATATAGGTGAGCAATCTCTCTATTGACGGCTTCAGTTGACACGCTTGATCTGACAGTATAATGTGCGAGCGACTTTTGCCGCGCGATTTACGCGTACACGTGTACATATCGGTATGCAACACGATCATTTGCCGACCAGTGCCAACAGAAACATTAGAAATAATGCTTTCATTGGCAACATTGGTAAAACACAATGCGTCATCGGATTGTTTGCCTGTTCGCATACAGCGCCCAACCCTGTCTCGATTGAGTATGAAAATCCGTTTCGATAATAGTTTGTCGTCTTTTTTCTTTTTTTCGGCTGTATCTTAAGTTTGGGAGACATTCACGAACGGGATCGAAATGATGTCTGGAATCCCGTTGAAGACGATGGTTCATCCTTCACGAGTTTGTCTCCTACGGCCTTCGAATCTGCCGCTAGCGGCGCTGGCGTCGTCGAGCACGTGGCCATCTGCGTGGCCACGCTGGGTGCTTCATCATTGTCGTTTCCTGGTTAATGAGCGAGGAATAATCGTTTCATAGAGAATGTGACCTGGATCCGGGTCGTGCTCTATAGGGCAGTCGCGTTTGCCTCCAGTCTCTTTTTTGATTCATCTCGATTTTGACTACGATGATACCAGCGGTTTCGTTTAAGCCACGAACGTGACCGTTCTTCCTGTCTGTTTCATTGTGTGATGTAAACATTATCCTACTGCAATACCACGTGAATTTATGGTATTTCGATATTTATAGTGTCGACAATAGCAGCAGTGGTCCTATGTTTGTACACGGTACTTCGGGCACTGCGTGGCCGGCGGAAGAATATTTGTATTCACGTATGACTAAAATAGGATGTTTGAAGGAGTGTCGTAATCGCGCTATTGTTGGTGGTAATGGGGTCTATCCATGTTGCGTGCAGACAATGCAATAGAAACAATGATGTTTAGCTTCTAAAATGTGCTTGTAATCTTGTTGGGTTCATCACTAACTCCGATGTTAGATGGACGACCATTAAGTGTTAGTCGGATGAAAAGCCAAATTCGTTAAGAGCGTTCGTCCGTACTTCGTTAAACTGCGTTTCCGAAAACGTCCATTTCTCGTAATCATATCGGATCACCGGCGGCTCGATCGGACGTAATACCCGCCAGCGAGAGTTCTAACGATAACTATTCGCATCAAAAATGCATACAAAGAAAATGTCCGCCTTCCGTCGACGTTCAACGAGGAACAACGTAACAATAGAAATTACTCCTATATATATATATATATATATATATATATATATATATATACACGTATAAGTAGACTACGGGCGAAGATATCTATCTGATAGATTGGCATTGGCGTACCACTTTTTGTTTGCTTGTGTTTGAGTCAAATGTCACAAAAATTGATGAAATAGGCATATGATGAATATCACACAATACATATATATGCAATAATGAAAGTTATTGTCAAAAAAACGAGTGTGAGGTTATCAGAAATAAAACTATTAATAATGAAAACAGTCAAGCTTCCCGTAGTCCCGTAGCTTCCCGTAGTATTGCCAGTCAGAAGCTACAATTACCAAGCTCCCAGCCGTAAATATGACATGTAATCAATTAATAAGCCTTCGAATCGTTTACATTTATCCATAATAGACTCGATGTATTTATTAGGAAAAGCAAACGGCCTGGAAGGCTTGAAGACACGATATTTTGGACGATTGATGGGTTCCTAGTTTGCTTTGATATGAAAAAGCAAGAATTTTATCGGAAATACACTGTCTATTTGAAACATTTATGCCTGTAGACACGTGGCTCACCATAATAGATAGAGAGATGTTTTCATTCGATTTAATATTTGAGTTTATATTTGCTGCGCACAACGACTCCTCGCGTTTTTTACGGTTTAATATCGGTTAGGAACAATCGAATTACTACGACGTACATAAATTTTCATTAAGTGAAATGGTATTGTTTCTCCAAAACCTGTGCTTATCTATTGAACAGAACATTGTTGGATGTTCACGACTTTATAGGCTCTGAAAATTTCAGGCCGAAGAGAGCTTCCTGAGCATAATATGTCGTTGACTACAGGCCCGCCAGGGTTGTTGAATTTACCTTTCCTACAAAACAAAGAACAACCGGTCCATATTTTCCAAGGTAACTTTGCCCGTAGGACCGCTATAAAGGCAGCTGAATTTTTCCTCATGCATCGGATGACTTCTGGTTGGGACTTTTGACGCTCTGCTAGAGATTAGGATGGAGAAGGCAGTCCCGGTTTCTAGATGGTGTCAACCTTTGATAATGAATGAGTATTCTATCCATACACATTGACCGGTAGAGTGTATACGCTTATTGGTCTGAATTCGGTGTCATAACCTGTTTAATGTATATATATTTCGGGATAGCTGCGTGACTACCGAACTGCCTTCAAGTGCAGTAGCTTTGGCTAAACGAAATTTAATTTTATTGCCGTCGGTGAGCATGAGGTCAGCACTCTTCATTTAGAGGTTATAATTACATGCAATAATAGTACGGCAATGAGGTTGAGGCCGAAATAGCCCTCGAACGCTATTTTCACTGAGCGCTCCTCGTCGGACTGATCACGACGAGGAACGCTCAATGAAAATGGCAGCAACTTATGATGATGGTAAAGCCCCCGTCGTCACGCACGGATTCACCAGCTGAAGCCGCTGTGATGTGGTACGGCGCTGCAACAATGCGACTTTGACAGCAGCGAAATCATGAACGCTGACGACCATGACGATACTGCTATACTTCATAGTAGATATTAGTGGTATCATTAGAGTAGTTCATTGGTAGAGGAGTGTTTGGACATATGCGTGTGTGTATCTGTGTCGGCATGTGAGTGAAGGCATGTCTATCGAAAGCATCGCCCAGTCTGGGCCACCAGCATTGCCAACGGAGGGTTAGAAAACCCCTTCGGTGTCCCGTGCTCTTCCCCTTTAACCCCCTACCGTTCGCCGAGCGTTCAGTCGAGCGGCTCGAAATGGGTAAACTGGCGAGCCCTTTCCCTTTAAATAATATAATATCGATAAAAGCACGTAATACTGGCGGCCGTCAAAACAACGGGAGCAATAGCTGTGTGGCATTCATTGCGTCATCGTAGTTCTGCCGGTAACACTAATGGGTCATGTCCGTTGTTCTTTGTTCCGCGAAGGTGAAAAGGCCATTGTCCGTGCAAGGTCGAACGTTTCGGCGGAAGCTACTGCCGAAAAACTGTAAAGGCAGCAGGAAATATGTCTGTGCTGTACCCTATCGCTGTTTGCATCCTAATATTAACGAGGATTGTTAGTTACCGCTGGAGTGTTTCAGAGCTTCAGCGTAACTTGCGATCAAAAGTTGAGTTGACATGCTTGTCTAGTTGGGGATACTCCCGTTCAATTGAAACTGAATATAGTCAATCAAACGAAAAAAAGACCCGAGGAAACATCTTTCTTTTTTTATGCAACTTTCTGTTCCGTATAACAAGCATGTTCCGATGCATACGGCAGCTAAATACAATATTTGCTCGTATTTTCGCTACATCGACCCTTTGGCGCATTGCTAGCGTTGCTATGATTTCCTTATGTCTGGGAAACTGTGGTACGGTCGTGGCTCCTCCATTTTGATATGAAACTCTTTAGCCTCGACGGGCGAGCGTATTCAGTTCTTGATCGCAACCACGACGCAATTCTTTATTCGGAATTAAGCAGCCGTGAAATATAAGCAGCGATACGAACACACAAGAATTAGTCGTTTATTTCGCCCATATTACGATGCAATACACAATAAGATAATTGTGATAAATGTGCCAGCGTGGTCCAAATGTACCGGATGTGAAGTAGTAATTATTTACGGCAAAAACTCAATTTTGAGCTTCGACTCTAAAAACCATCCGAAACGATGCAATCTTATCGTCTAACTCCAATGAGTTCCTTTTGCCGTTTGGTTCAGTAAACATGACAAAAACGGCTGACATAATTTCTTATCGGTCCCCTTAACGGATGCCAAACAAACATAGATGTCCCGTTATGGATGACAAATGTGTACACGTAATCGTTTGCATATTCCAAGTTTTATTTACATGTATCGTACGTGATCTTGCATTTATTATGACTGTTCGTGACTATTCATTGTTGCGCTTTTTCTGATGACCCATTGTCTATATGGCAATACACCTGATCGGTCAGAGCATCGACGGCAGCATCGGTTTTGAACACTTCTGGATGGATGGCACAGTCGACCTTACAAGACAATGATACTTCGCTGTTGAAATGGAAACCACACCCAGCTTCTGGCCTTGTATGTTTTTTTTTCTATACAATAAAAATTCGACAAATGTGTCAGTTTGTCTTTGCGCCGATGGCATTGTATGCGACGATCCGTTACGTCGGCTAAAACGTAGATCGCGACCGCGATAACATGACAAGCGTGCTTTCGGAGAACGCCCAAGACTAAGCTAAAATCGCCATATTTATCTGCTTCGAACGAACTGGCATGTGTCCGTCTCTATGTAGGAGAAATAAACTTAAAACGCCTCGGAAGAAAATTGCCTTCGATTGTTAATTTTATGTTTGGCCCCAATGAATTTTGATATTACAGTATCAAATCTTCACCGTATGTATGAATAAGTGCTTTTTATATAAAAAAAAATACGTAGCTTCTGTACGATTTACTCTCGAGATTGAAAACTATGTATGTGTGTATTTATAGTATATTTTACATATACTGGGATGCTAATAGTAGGAATAAAGGCACAATTCTGTACACAACGTAACGTATTCATAGATAAACTGGCCTTCAGGATCACTGTTTAAGAAGATAAAAGTCAGATGAGCTTAATTGCACACTGAACTCAGCCTAGCTGCACCAGAATACCGGTAGTATTTGAACGGTCTAGCCTAGGTTTTGGTGAGTGACTGCTGCTTAGCACCTTCGTCGATTGGTAGACACTTACGGTTCCGGACAAAAGACT